TGGCAGGTTACTTAAAACTAAGCCAATGAGGATTAGATCTTCCATCCATAGGCCCATCTGACTTTTCTGGTCAACTGCCATCCCTTTTTTCCCTTTCCAAAATCCTTTTAAAATAAGATTTATGGATTCTATATATTAACACCTACTTAATGAATCTTTCAATCTATAATGTAAAAGGTTTGACATACAGGGATGGAATTTTTTTTAAGTCTGACACATGTAGGAGGTTTCTAACCCATCTCTTGGCCTGTGTAAAGGGAAAAACGTCTCCTTCTAGGTAATGAGCAGCTTGATCCTGAATAGCTGGACCATGAGGGAAAAGTTCAAGCTATAAGTACTCTGTTTTTTGGATAAGATTGGATTTTGTAGGAAATATGAGCTTTATAATAGATATGAATATGCCTGCCACTGTCATCCTGTCAATAAGATTGTTATTTTCTTCCTGAAGATTTTTTTTAAAGGCAGTTACTTGCAAAACAGTTTCCAAATCACTGTGGTGATATAAACCCTGCTCAGTAATAAAATCCAGAAATAACTGAAGTGGCCATGGACTTACATGTTGACAATATCATGTCATCAATGTTAAAAAAAATAACATAACCAAACCCTTGCTAATCTCAAACTAGTGAAGAATTATTTTGATCTAATTAGTTCTCCTAGTGGGTAGGACTAAAAGTGACTTGAACTACCTGAAGACCTATAAGAGTTTTGGGTCACCTGAGGCCATATTGTACCTAGAACTGTTCAGTGTTGTGTTTTACAGCCTGAAGCAAACCTTACTGTGCATGAAAGGATGAAACACTGCAGCCAGTTCTCACTTGAGAACATTGTTGAACATCTGCATAGTGACCAGCCAGCTCATTTTATCTCTGAAATTCTGCATGGGAAAAGCACATTCTTGTTGTTACATGGCAACTTAAAAAACAACAAGCAATCCCTTCTGAAATCAACCCTTAGAACTATTTCTGAGAAAAAAAGAACAACAGTGGAAGAGAGCCACATTTAAAAACTCCGGCATTTGCAAATAGTTATTACAGTCTGTAATGTTGTAACATGCTTTTAAAATGGCTATTTTAGGACATGCACATTTAACAATCAGTCTCTTGGTCTCAGAAAGATACTGACTAACTAGACATCATCCTGCAGACATACTATATAGGGTATGTGGATTGTAAAACAAGTTATACAAGAGATCATAAAACTGTAGAACCTCAAAGGAGACACTGTTTTTTAATGGGACAGGGAAAAATTCTTTTATTTTGAAAGACACTCCCTTTGCCTTTCTGTAATGTCTAAAACAATTAGTAAACAGTTTTGAGTCTAGACATTTTTAAATTTAAAGAACTAATGGAAAATCACTTACCCAATTTTCCTCTCGATTGAAAATGAAAATGCACCACTCTGTCCCTGATTTATATAACCTTCTGCACTCCTTCACTCCTGGCTGGTGTGTGGATCCCCTTTCTCCCTGGATCACATGAAAGTGTTCTATTAATGTGAATTGGCTGATGTTTGAGAACACTATGCTGGGTAGCTATGAGGTGTAAGGAATCTGACCCAGGGAGCTGTGGGGCTGTGACACATCAGTTCCTCACAGGAATTCTCAGTTGCTGGATGGGAAGAACACGAGGCAGGTCCTGTACACTGGGTGCAGCATGTTGTCACTGTTGTTGTTGTTGTTGTTGGTATATGGTTTGCTTAAGGCAGCGAGACAAGTTCCATGTTATACCAATGTAAGTGGAATTTTTTCACTGCCTGACTATGACTACCAAGTATGAGGCTGTCTCTCTCACCTGACTTAGTAAGCAAAGGTTGGGAAAATGAATCAGTTTATCACATGACAATATATTATAATATAAACAGAGCATGGCTAAAATTGACAGCTGCCTTAAGAAAGGCACTGCAAGTCAGCACTGCTCCACATATTTCATGAGGAATGCTTTGCTGGAGTTCAGAATAAACATTCCAAGTCTAGGAATGCTCGTAGGTTACCTGGCAGGAGGGAGAGAAGGAAAATCTCCGGCCTCCATTCCATTCTTCATCCTTTTGCCTGTGTTCAGTTTTCTCTTGCCCACGTGGCCAGAAAAGAGGGAATGCAGCTTGTCTCTTCCCACATGGATAAGATGGAACTTCCAGCCCACTTGTTTGGATGTAGTGGTTGAAGTTACAGTGTTACATGTGTAACTTTCAGGAAAAAACCCACGCCACTTCAGGATAGACTCATCTCGACTATAAACCCCTGAAGAACATGTCACTGGAACAGGAAACCCACACCAATCACAGAATTTTCTTTTAAGTAGAGCATGTTTTCAGCTCCATGGTACTTTTGGAAAATCCTCCCTTGTAATACACTATTTCAGAGAGGAAAAAATATTTCTTTCATAATAGGTTGTGAGTTACAGGCCTTGAAACACGTGTAATAAAAATATATCCACATCAGCACAAGATATAAAAAAATGATCGCTGTGATAGGATTAAACCTGACACAAAAGTGCTTAGTTCAAGTCAGTTGTTTGCATGGTGTTGGCAATGTCTAACAGGTGATAATTTCTAGAGATTGCCACGAAGAAAAGTGAATTTATGAATTGTCTGTGAATACAGAAATTATTAGCATATTAAAATTTCAATGTCCAAAAAATTGCCATGCAGTTATGCAAAATATGGGCACAACTCTTTAGAGCACTAATTGGCTCTTTGCTTTTGCAAAAATCTGACATTGTTCTGCATTTGCTTTGTTCCTTCATTCAAAATGTACTGGATGGGCCACCAAGGCTGCAGCTGTCTGGTTATTCTCCACTTTGAGGCATCACTGATTTATGTATATATTTCCTGCTCCTTCTTGCAAAGATTTATTTTATTTTATTTTATTTCATTTTATTTTATTTTATTTTTCTAAATTGCTGTTTGATTGTAGGGGAAAAGTAGAAGGTTTTCAGCATTTCAGTGTCCAGCAGCATGACTTCCATATGTTGTTGTAGCAACCTGGTGTCAGTTTTTCACTTAATAAAACCTTCCAGGTCCTTGAAAAGAAAGAGTCTCTGGTGCCAATCAGGGTTTGATCCTGCCCGGGTTTTTCTCCTTGACACCCCACCAAATTGGGTCCCAGCTTTTTTCATAATTCTATTAATAATTATTTTTTCATGTTCCTCTGAAAATACCTTCTTAGACTGGTACAATGTCTACTGTGATGTGATGGGCTGTAACCTAATCCACACTGCTGAGAGAATATCTGATTTTTACCTCCCACAGGATTATCTGTAAGTACAAAAATGAAAGTTTCTGCAAGAACCAAGTACAAAAACTTAAACCTCACATTGCTAAAACAAATTTTTTAATTTAGCTACACTCATTAAAAGTATTTCCCCCCATGTGTGTTTGCTTGCAGAGCTGGCAGTTGAATGCCAAGTACCTCAGATGTTTTGTTTCTGATGTTTTCAATTAGTCCAGGCCCCATTTTGGATCACTGGGATTAACTTTATGTCAGGAACAGCCATCACTGGGCAACAAGTCCAGTGTTAGACAGTAAATTTCTTGTTTTATCTCTTCATCCTGAATAGTAGCATTTCTTTTAATGTATTCCAGGGAAATGCAAAACGTTTATGCTTTAAAATCATAAGCAATACTCCTGGGCAGTGACTAAACTGTGTCATTTAAAGACATGTCTTTTTTCATCAATGCCTAGGAATATCTCCTAGGGATTTCATACCAGGAGATTGATTTCCAGAACTGGACAAATGGTTAGATTTGATACTAAATTGAATAGTGGTAGATTCACTATTTTAAGGGCTCTGGATGACAGCATCAGCATGCTGGACAACTCCCAAGCTGAGATGCACTGCGAACCCCACTGGTAATTCACTCCTCAGCACCCTAAAAAGACACACTATTGCTCTGTATTTGGTGACAATGGAGACTGGCTTTTGTTTGCTGAAATACAGCATCCGTATACAACGTGAGGAATTTGAATTCAGTTGGAGATCCTCTGCTAAATGCCAGAAACTCTACATTCATTTCTGCACTCTGAGAGGAGCAAAGGAGGGAATGGTGAAATCTGCACGCACTGATCTCTGCTAATAAATCTGAAACATTTATTTCAAGATTCCTCTTTGTGAGTCTTCTCATTTCAATGAGAATAAGGTCGTATGTATATGCATGGATGAAAACTGAGTGAACATCAGACATAAAAACAATCTTGGTGGGTAAAGACAAGTTGAAAATCTTACAATGAACTGAATGTAGGCCATTTTCTTCACTTACTGTTCTCACTGTTGACAATAACAACTGACATAGACACATAATAATAGCCAGGACAGCAAAAATCCCATCATCTGGACAAGCAGAACTGGAAGTGCTGGGTGTTTGGTTCGACTGGATGACGTTGACGATTCTATGATTATAACTAGATGGTCTTTAGGGTCCCTTCCCACCCAAACCATCCCATGACTCCATCATTTATTTCATTTTCCAGAGGCCCAGATCCCTGCTCAAGGACTAACGCAGGCATTTCTATGGACATATATATATATATATATATATTGCAACCGGACATGTCTATCTCGTCTCTTTCAATATATACATATTGTAACCGGACATGTCTACCTCGTATTGGCCTTTTTAGCCACCAACGCACCTGCAACAAACGTGGGTAAAGGCCTTCCCAAATCTTCTTTCGCGAAGCCTAGCCATTATATATATATATATACATATATATATATATATGTATGTATTACAGGCGCTCGGCGGCCCTTTCCCTCCCCTTTTCCCTCCTCTGTCGCTCGCACAAGGGCTGTCCCGCCCTCCCTCTCCGCGGCTCTCCCGCGCCCGCAGCGCCCTCCGGAGGCGGCGGCGGCCCCAGCACCGCGCCCGCTGCGGGGCGGCCCCGCCCGGCCCGGGGGAGTTCCCTTCCGTGCCGGAGCTCCCGCCCGTGCCGGGGATCGTGCTGGGGCTGTTCCGCTGCAGCTCGGTGCGAGCGGCGGTTCCCGGGCCGTTCCGTCGGTTCGAGCGGCGGTGAGAGCCCCGCAGCCGCCCGGGGAGCGAGTGGGAGCGGCCCGGCCCGGCCCGGCCTGCTCGGAGCGCACCGCGCAGCACAGGCGGGAGATCGCGCTCGGAGCTCGGCGGCTCCGCGGCGGCCACGGCGGGAGGCACTGACCCCCCGGGCGGACCCCGCGGGCCGAGGTACGCAGGCCCGGCCATGCCCGTGAGGCGGGGCCGCCCCGGGAGCGGCCCGGGCAGCTCGGGCACGGCCCCGCGGCCCCGCGGCCGCGACATGGCGCAGGGCGGCGGCGATTCCTCCCCGGGCCGGGGCCGCCTCCCGCTGCCCTCCACCTCCCGGGACGGGCCGCCGGGCCTGCCGCGCTCGCCGTCCCCCGCCGAGGACACGGAGGAGGAGGAGGCGAGCGAGTGTGTCGAGCGGCTGGAGATCGGCAACGGGGCCGACAACGAGCACAACAGGTCGATCCGCAGGCAGTACCGGGAGCTCATCTCCAGCGTGCACCGTAAGGCGGGCGGCGGGGCGGGAGCCGGGGCTGGCGGCCGGGAGGGTCCTGCGGTTGTGGGGAACTCCGGGTTCCTTGGGCGGGTGATACTTTGGGTTTGTGCTCAGGTCGACATTCGACTCCCGGGAGGCACTTGTATGGAATGACAGCATCATGGAGTGGTTGGAAGGGACCTTAAAGCTCATATTCTTTCACCCCCTGCCATGGGCAGGGACACCTTCCACTATTCCAGGTTGCTCCGAGCCCCGTCCAACCTGGCCTTGGACACTTCCAGGGATGGGGCAGCCATCCCTGCTAACATAAATTCAACCATAAAAATCTTATGCCACTGAAGTAAATGGAAAATTGCTGCTTCAGTCTTAGTTAATGCATAAGCATTAATAAAGATGGAGCCTGTATCATCCTGGAATTAATGTGCTATATATTCTGTATTTTCGTGTGTATGACAGGGAACGAAGCAGCCAGTTTTGATTAGGTCGTGAGTATGTATTTGTATTGGGTTTGTGTGGCCAGGGTTTGGTAGCAGGGGGGCTGCGGATTTGAGAAGCTGCCAGAAACTTCCCCCGTGTCTGCAGAGCCAAGAGGGACCCGCCACTGGCCAAGGCTGAGCCCATCAGTGACCGCAGTAACACTTCTGTGGTAACATATTTAAGAAGGAAAAAAAGTAACTGTGCAAAAGTAATTGTGACCAGAGCAGAGAGCAGCGAGAACCAGTGAGAGAAGCATCTGTGCAGACCCCCAGGGCGGTGCAGAAGGAGGGGCAGGAGGCGCTCCAGGTGCTGGAGCTGAGGTTCCCCTGCAGCCCGAGGTGCAGCCCATGGTGAGGCAGCTGTGCCCCTGCAGCCCAGGGAGGACCACGGGGGAGCAGAGACCCGCCTGCAACACGGGCGGGGTCCTGCACTGGAGCAGGGTCGTGGCAGGGACCCGTGGACCCATGGAGAGAGGAGTCTGTGCAGGGACAGAGCCTGTTCCTGAAGGACTGCACCCTGTGGAAAGGGACCCACAAATTGCTGAGGCAGTTTGTGAAGAGCTGTTCCCATGGGATGGACTCACGCTGGAGAAGTTGGTGGAGCACTGTCTCCCGTGGGAGTGACCCCATGCTGGAGTAGGGGTAGAAGGGCTCCTCTCTCTAAGGATGAACCAGTGGCAGAAACAACATGTGATGAACTGACTGTAACCTCCATTTCCCACCTGTACCCCTGGAGGGGAGGAGGAAGAGAATCTGGAATAAAGTGAAGCCCAGGAAGGAGGGGAGGGGTGGGGAGGAAGGTGTTCTTAAGATCTGTTTTACTTCTCATTATCCTGCTCTGATATTATTGGTAGTAAATTCCACTAATTTCCCCAAGTTGAGCCTGTTTTGCCCATTACAGTAGCTGCTGAGGGATCTCTCTCTGCCCTTATGTCGACCCATGAGCCTTTTGTTCTGTTTTCTTTCCCCTGTCCAGCTGAGGAGGACAGTGACAGAGCTTTGGTGGGCACCTGGCCTCCAGTCAGGGTCAAACAAGCACAGTATTCCTCAATTCTTCTGTGTTTAAATAATTTAGGATTTCATACGTGTCTTTTCTCCCCCAGAAAATCGTGAGGAGATGCTGAGTTCAAAAAGCAACAGACTGACAGAAGCTTTGGAAGAAGCCAATAAGCTGTTTGAGAAAGGTAAAACAAATTCTGTGCTCTTTATTCAAGGTGTTTGGCCAAGTGTGAGATGATGATGCCTTATAAACAAGAGAGCTGAGGTCCAAGTACTTTATCAGAAGTTCTATATAATTTAAAATAGATATGTTTAGTTGAAGATTGTTTAAGTTGATATGAGAAAATAAATATTCCTGTTTATTTGCACTTAGAAATACTCCTTGCTTTATTTTGACAATGTATAGAAGTAGTACACATAAAAGATACCAGTGTAGAGGGGTTCATTTCACTTGGAGAAGTGGAAAACATGTTGATAAAAAGGTGTTTATTCTTTGTCATTGTCACTCTCTCCTATTCTCTCTCCTTTTTTTTTAATGCAAATATTATTATAAGGATTAAGTAAGTGTGTTAGAGGTCATTGTAATAAAATGATTTACAAAGCTCTAATGCCAGGATAGACCCTATGCTGAATTTATTATTATATCTTAGACAATTTCACATTGTTAGCATAAAATTTTTCCTGTGACAGTTTGCCGTGCACGAGAGGCTGCGCTGGATGCCCAGTTTCTTGTCTTAGCATCCAATCTAGGGAAGGAGAAGGCCAATGAGTTACACTCTGAGATGACATCATTTGATGCAGCAACATTTGCGGAAGACTTGGTAAGTTCCAGCCTCGGAATTTGCCAAACAGGAGGTTTGCCCTGTTTGTTACAGAATCACAAAGAAAAATCCTCAGATTGTACATGGCAGCTCTGATGGAATTGAATGCTCTTCCTATGGATTTCTTTGATTAACTTGCTGTATCTGGTTAGTGTTGTTAATTGTTTTAAACTACATATTAAGCATTTCCAATAGGGAAAAATCCAACTTAAAATGCAGACCCCCCCAAAAAATTATTGCACTGCTGCTGCTATATCACAGTTCAGTCAGTTCGTGCTCTTGAAGTCTTTGCACCTTTTTTTAAGTCACTCTTTTGTAGTTTCTCAGTAGCTAAGTAGTTTCTTTATCCTGTCTACCACTTTCTGTGTTTTGGGATAGAGCCCTTAAGGCCCTGTGTCACTGGCAGGACTTTGGATGACTTGAATACTTTTAGATGTGACATGTTTGTCTTTTTGTACTGTGGCTGGGTGGAAGAGTTGGTTCAGAATAGCTTTTAAGGAGGCTGTTGGGTTTTTTCCTCCTTGAAAATTTTCCCTTATGTTACAGCAGATTAATAAGGAATCTGAGTCTTTAGTCAGGTCTAGAGCTCTACAGTATAAAACCCCATCAAGTTCAGTTGTTTTGTTGAAGTTTTTCTTGGATTAGCGTGGATTGGTGGATGCAGGAATAGGCCAAATAAGTTGTTCTATGGTATTCCTGGGAATATGTGGTGGTCAGAAATTGTGAGATATCTGAGCTCTCTGGTGCAATTTAAGTAATGCTCTGCTACTTCATACGTCATTGACAATTTGTTGGAATCTAAGCAGTTTTATTTACTTGTGGCTCTTTTTTTTCTCAGCTTAACAGAAGTTATCTGTTTTCACAGTATCTTCGGGAAAGTCCTTATGCAGTGATATTAAATATTAATCTATCAGGCAAACACCACAATACAACGTTTCACCATGAATGTATCTCCTGGTTTAAGTGAATTTTCACTGCAGCTTTTTTTCGTTTGCAGCTGACCCTCATGGGTATAAATCGCATAGAAGTAGAAGAAAATTATAGTGAACCTGGTGGTTTTTTACCTCGTGATGCCTGGCAGAAAGTGGGAGAAGAAGCACTGAAGTACTTCAGAAGAGCACCTACTTTTCACTATATGTAAGTTCCTTTAAGGAAATACTTTATCCTGCAGCACAAGGTAATGCCCTTAATGGAGTCTTATCTTTAATGCCCTGGGCTTGAACAGAGTTTAATCTGAGGTCACAGCAGTGTTGACAAGGACTTCTGTGTGATCTTTCTTCTTCTGGTACAGTGAACTCCTCATCTCCAAAATATTTAATAATATTTCTTGCTTTGGTTTTGGGTTGGCTACAGAACAATATCACTAGCAAGGTATTCTTGAAATGCCATCAGAAGTGATCCTCTTTCCTCTGGAAAGCTGACCCTTCCCTCGTCATTCTCTGCCTGTACAAGCTGCAGCCAGAATCATGAACACAGGAGCCTTTTTGGTTGTTTTTTTTTCTTTTTTCTTTCTCAGACAGTTACAGAATGTCAGTCCAGGGAGGTCTGTATCTTTTACCTGATGATTGTATTAATATGAAAAGACTGACAGTTGTTCTTGTACGTCTGTGTTAATGGGTTGTCTCTTAGAGTCTTGCTTTCTGACTCTGCCTTTAGAATAAATAACCTGAGTTCTGGCCAGTGGCCTTATGTAGAATCAGCCTCACCTCTCCTTAGGCATAGGCAACACATTTAGTAGGAGCCTGTTTTAGCTGACCCTTAATCACCTGGCTTATAGCCAACACTCCAATTTAAATCTCTTCAAAAGTCAGCCTACAATAGCAGAGCCTGGTTCAATTAAATGACCAGCAATATTAAATTAAATGAGTAGAGCTGACAGAATATTATTCAGTTGTCTGTGCTTTTACACTTGTTCCACCCCCCTATAATTACCACTGTAATTGTAAGAAAGTTGCTGAATATAATAATTTGATCCTACAATATCAGGCAGGAAAGTTTGTTATAAATTCAAGTGGAGATATTGGAGGATATGAACCATATATTCTGTTTCATTTCTTAACTAGCTTTAAGAAAGTAGATTGGAAGTCTTCAGTCCAAAAAGAAAGTTGGAATAATTGCATCAAATTTTCTACATGTTCTGGTATGAGGCTGCCAATATATTGGGAGCAACTTTTGGGGATGGTTCTTTCCAGAAATCTCTGAATGTGATGAAGCTTTATCTTTAGGTATCAGTCATTACTTTACACTTTTCTCAGGAGATCCACTGCTCAGTGTATAGATTTCTAAGCATGCAGTGTAAACCAGATTTCCATGTATGTGTTCTTTGTATCTCTGTTAGGTTGGGATCTTTCAAGTCTGATCCTCCTGTAGCAAAGCAACGGATTGAGAGGCAGAAAAGGGCTTCAAAAGGAGAAGCAAAACAGATGATGCCTGCTCAGGTTTGTAAAGTGTTATCTTTATTAACCATTTGTTCTGGCATAGTTATTACTAGCGACTTCTAAAGCTTTCTGTTCATGTTGGTTTGGGTTTTGTAATTCCAAACTGTGTAGTACTTGTGACATCCCACCCTTAAGGGGAAGGGATCAGCCAAGATTCATAGATGCTTGTGCTGTACTGGGTTGTGCTTTAACTCCAGGAGCCAAAACAAGGATGTTTGTCACAGAAAAGTGCTGCCCTCCCTCCATGTCGTTCTTTTTCCAGCCCCATCCTGTTCTTTCTCACAGTGTGTTATTAGCACAATCCTTGGTTGTTGCTACCAGCAATCCTTGTTTGGCTCCATAGCCATCCAGCTGTGTTTGAAACATGCACATCAACCCTTTCTGGGCTTCTACAGTACTAAAGGACTCAGACTTCATTATTAGGCCTCTTGATTTGTTTTGTGTGGACTGCAATGTTTCACTGAGTGGAGGGAAATAGGATTTACAGACTAATTTCGTGTTCAGAAATATGATTTACACACTGATTTTTCAAGTTCAAATGAGCTTACTTGCTCTTATGCCTGTTGCTTTAAAAGGAAACAAAAAAGAAGCTTCTTTACGTTGGCGTGGTTTCCGTTTTTCTGTAAGAAGTGTCTGACAGGGTGTGGCATTTGCCCTGAAATGTGATTAACAGCAGTTAATTATCTCACTTAAACACTGTTTTTTCTGCCTTCTGTTTCCCTGTCCTTTCTGTCATACACTGGTAGAAAGGCAGAAGTCTGGGAATACTTAGAGACTTAACCTCTGAAACCTTGAAAACATAAACCATGGTGTTTTAGGGAAGCTCAGACTGTGATAATGCCAGGACATAGAGGCAAAAGCTTGATTATTATTTTCTAAAATACTTAATAGTAATTGAAATAGTGATAGAAAGGATTCTGTCGCACTTTGTACTGGGAAGAAGAGGAGCTGGAGGGCTTTTGAGTTGCTTATAAATGATCTGTATTAACCTCACAGACTGTACCACTGTGTAACCCAATTCCACAGAGCTATTGAAGAGTAAGTGTAGCCCTTAGTGGGCTCAAAACATACAAGCTGTGGCCTTTCAGTTTGATATTTTAAGATGGGACCTAAACCCTAAAGCTCTTAGCAAGCTGTCTCATGTTTGCATAAGTGTGTTGGGAGAAAAATTCAGCTTTTATGTTCTGTGTTGATAAAAGGCCCTTTGCATATTCCTGTAATACACTAGTGGTTATTTGAGGTGAATCTGTGTTTCTTTTTCCCAGTTAAATCAAATGGAGGAGTCTCATGACGAAACTACAGAAAAAGAAGTAGAGAGGATCTTGGGAATACTGAACACTCTCTTTGAAAATGATCGTAAGTATGAGGAAATTAAGCATGAATTGGTGAAAATGAATATTTGCTGGTTTTTACAGTTAGGAGTGGTTAAACTGCAGAGCCAAAATGAGGTGAAGTTTGCAAGTAGAAATCTTCCTGTAGAAGCACATATACCAACTATGGATTTTTTATGAACACTCATCAGGGGCTGTTTGACTGCAAAGTACATGTGAATCCTCTCCCCCTGATTAGAGCCTGCCATTTTTTAGAAGGCAACCAAGAAAAGATGGGAAAAGGGGGAAAAGATGGAAGAAAATAATGAACTCTATGGAAGATTTGTTTCTTTTTGCAGGCAGCAAAAATTGAGAATTCAGCATTGTAACTAAACTGACAAACATTCTGTTAGGTTTTGAAAGGAGTACTGTCTCTCTTTAAGTTTGTTTTACATCTTTTTAACTCTGTTTTAACAAAGCCATTTTTGTATCTCCAGCTGAAACACCAATTTCCTTCTTTGATTTTGTGATTGATCCAAACTCCTTTGCACGCACCGTGGAAAACATGTTTCATGTGTCCTTCCTCATAAGGGTAAGGCATGATATGTTCTTGAAATCTCACTTTAGATATTGGAATTATCTAGACATCCTGATTTATTGTTTTTATGTCTTCAAGATTGAAAAATTAGGTTTCAAATATGAGGAATACTAATTTATTTTCTACAAACAGCCCGTGATATTTTGGTAATCAAATAAAAAAGAAAATAGAGTTGACAGACTAATTTTTTTCTTAGATCTTTCTGCTGCAATCGATTTACCAACAAAACAATAGTGAAATTTTGCTGTCAATATGCTTTTCAGAAAAGATTCTGGCTTACATTTTAGATATAAGAAAGTAGTCACAGAGTATAGAAGAGTTATTGAGGTTGTAGAAGAGTATGTTAGTGCAGGGGTTTATATGCACTTCAAACTATATTTAGTTTGTCTAATAAATAAAATTAAAAGACAAAAACTGACAAAGATATTCTGACTAAATTCAGGTTTATAATGAATAGTGATGTGATTTGATTATGAAGGGTTACCTTCAAGTGTATTTAATGAATAATAATGATTTTAATAAAGCAAAACTTTTATAATCCAAGTTAGCCACTGTTCTGTATGGGCTGCCTTCTTCATTAATAAGTGGTATATTTAAATACTTTTTTCCTATTTGTTATGCCAATGAAGATTCTTTATCAATATATGTACCTGTTTATGATTATGTATTAAGTAAAAACATGAAATCTCAGTGCATTATCCTAACTGGATACCTCTAACTTCTGAAACTTTAAATCCCACTGTCTTCTAGGATGGTCTTGCAGAAATAAGGCTGGATGATGATAAATTGCCAATAATAGGTAAAATCTGGCTTTTAAAAGAGCCTAATTGTTTTTTGCTACAACATTACATGTTACACGTTCACAAAGTTTCAGGTTTATTTTTAGCTGGGGACAATGAATGTAATTGAAGGTATGAAGAGATTTATGAGGAGTTGAAAGGATTGAGTGTTTTCCAATATCCATATATGAAAAAAGACCATTATGCTGATTTATACAAATTAATTCTATTAAAATAAATCAAAGATTATTACCTTTCTTTTCAAGTTACATTTTTGCTGAAGTATTTTTTGTGTGCAAGTCTCCGTTGTCTCGCTTGAGTTGGGAACTGCTGCAGCTTCAAAACATTTGGAAAGGAAATTCCATGCTACACGAGGTCTTTGGCTTTCATTCCCACAGGATATCAATGGGGTTAAGACTTTGGTGGGATTTCATAAGGAATGAAATACTTACGTCTTTGTGGGACTCTGCAAAACATTAGTTCCTAAATATTGAAGAGGTGAGATGAAGGAAATCTCTTCAGCAGTGTATGGTAGAGGCTGTTGAGAGAGAGTAAGTGGGGGGAAGATGCAGAATTGATTTGATTTTTGTGGAGCTTTTGTGTTCCTGGTGGACACTGACTTTGCAAGTGTAAATACTGAACCTACTGTGTTTTGATCAGAGTCTACAAAATACAGGAAGGTAGGGGAGGAAAACCGGGGACCTGGAGCACGGAAACAAGTTGTCATGTCTCTGACCCAGGAAGAATGGAAGGTACCATAGAGACCATTTGATACTTTGGATTAGTTCTTTTTTTCCTTAAATGTAGGAATGCATCTGAGAGCTGGGCTGTTGATGCTCTCAGGAGGAGAGGTGTTCCCATGTACATCATCACTGCATTTGACCTTACGGGTGCCAGAACAATCACAAATCTAATGGGTGTTTTTAACTGCAAGAAAATTGAGAACTGGGATAGCAATTCCATCTTTGATCCCTGAGGCCTGGTCAGTTTATGTGCTTTTAAGCTCTGCACTGACTTGCCTTTACTATTTTATATGAGGCCTGTGTAAATACAGAGTCTGTTTCTTCCCTTCCATATACTTAACTTCTGAAGGGGAAGTTCTCCTCACTAGTTTGCTGTTTGTAGTAAACCTTAGAAGACAAAAAGTAGTTTTGAGCCCATACAGCTCTTCTCCTTTGTCCCTCACTTGGAATATCCAGGAGAAACATAATAATTTGAAATGGTGCTTTAGTGTGAGAAATTTCATTATTTGCCTGGTGGTAATTAAATTAAAATAGTTCAGCTCTTGTGATTGACTGACTGCTGTCATCTCTAACCAGGAGATCATAGAAGTATTTGAAATAACAGAAGCCATGATTAGCCCTCCTTTTCAGAGCACTGAAGAGGAAATGGAGACAGAATAATTTTCCAAGTAAGTTCTTTTAATAAATCAAACTCAGTAAGGATCCAGTGCATGAGTTCCTTATGCACCTGGAAGAACTGCAGGGAAACTATATGGGACTTACAAATGTAGAACTGTAAGCAGGGTGACTGTAATATCTGGAACATTGCTGTGTTCTTGCTCTCTTCATGGAACAAAATGTAATCTAGTCTTGTATGCAGTAATTAACATTTCTTGGTCAGTTCAGTGATAGACTTGAGTTAATTTTTGGAACTTCATACTCGGAATGCAATGTTGGGAAGAATCATAGCTTAGTTTTTCTGTTTGTTTTTTTAACTTAGTGACAGCTGATCTTGTTAATACAAGTAGTCTGAAGAAGGACTTAGAGGGAACCAGACTGTCTTCTGTTCCTACTTCCCTAAAATTCTTTCAGTGATAGGACTGAATTCTTTTACTGTCACAGTTGTTTTTTAAGTTCCAAATTTTATTGCATAGTCTTACTGTCTTTTTCTTTTTCTCTTCCCCTAGGTGCCTTATACTTCAGAATGTTTTCCTCAAGAACTGTTTTATGTGTATATATTGTACAATTAAATTTATTCGTATTGGAACATCTCAACACTACATAAGCTGCTTTGTTCAGAATCATGGAATGTTTTGGGTGGGAAGGGACCTTAAAGCTCATCTTGTTCCACCCCCTGCCATGGGCAGGGACACCTTCCACTAGCCCAGGTTGCTCCACGCCCTGTCCAACCTGGCCTTGGACACTTCCAGGGATGGAGCAGCCACAGCTTCCCTGGGCAACCTGAGAAGAAGTTTAGACTTGTCATAGGGTTATTACTATATACTCCCTATTTATTCTGGCTCAGTTTACTTCTTTATATAAAGTTTACTGACACTCACCAGCTTTTATAACAGGGAAACACTGCCCCCCTTCCTTCCTCCCTTGTCTTTCCCCAGCAGCAGCAGCAGCAAGTAGAATTTACATGGTTATCCATCCCTGGTGGGATAATCTTTCTATCCACCTGATTTTGGGTGTTGCAGGAGAAGTTGATAGCGTTCTTGCTGTTCCGGAAATAAAGGTTTGAGTTTGGAAATTTGGTCCCAATTACAGATAGCAATTCCCCTTTCTGTTTTTCCAAACTCCACCTGTGTTTGGCTGGTAACTTAGGCAGGCCAGCTCTATGGGGCCATGATATTATTTTGTTAAAAATGAATAAATCTAGCTCCCATTCAGGAAAATGCTCTGTCTCTGGAGTTGTAGAAAAGTGAAAAGTAGATTGGTGTGCAAAGTTTGACGTTCTTTTTGAGTCCCTAGATTTGCACTTCAAACTATAGTTTGAATTTTAGAATTTTAATTAGTTAAAATTAAAATTAATTTTCTAAAATTAAAATTTTAGAAAACACAAAACCTGACAGAGTTATATTGTCTAAATTGAGGCTTACAGCGAATGGTGATCTGATTATTTCTTCCATCCTTTTATCACGCTGGAGCAGCCGGGTACAGAGGGATCTGGCAAATTGTTAAGAGGGTGTTTGTGGGGTGAGAAACCGGTCAGGCCACGAGGGAAAAACGGTTTGAGCATCGAAGCCGAGCCGAGCGCGCTGTTCTGTTGCAAACCCGGCCCTGAGGGGGAGGCGTGGGCACGGCCCGGGCGGGGGCGCTGCGGGGCCGCCGGCGCCATGCCCGCCGCCGTGGTGGAGTACAAGGGCTGGAAGGAGGGGCGCGCCTGCGGCTACTGCGGCTCGGAGCGGGGCAAGGTGTCGGCGGGTGAGCGGGGCCGGGGCGCGGCGGGCGGGCCGGGCCCGGGGTTTGGGGGGTGTCCCCGGTGCCCTCAGCGCTGAGGGGAACCCGCCGCCGCTGCCCGGGGGAAACATGGCGGCGCCGCCGCTTCCTGCGCGCGCCGCCCGCGCGCTGCCCACAGCCAAAATGGCGGCGGGCGGCGTTTCCGGGCGGCCCGGGGCGCTGCCCTAAGGCGGGCGGGCACCGCGGGGATGGCGGCGGGCGGCGGCTCCCCGAGCATCGTGGAGTTCTTCGGCGGGGAGGATGGCTACCGCTGCGGATACTGCAGGAGCGACACCGGCAACCTGTCGCACGGTGCGGGCGGGCGCGGGGAGCCGCGGGCGGGCCGGCCGGGTGCTGCTGGCGGGGAAGGGGCGGCGGCGGGCGCGGGGCCGAGGGAAGGCGGTGGCTCGGCGGCACCTCTGCCCGCCCCGCCCGCAGCTCCGAGCTGCTCTTATGGCCCAGTGCTTCTAGCTGGTCTTAACAGAATTAAGTAGCAATTTCATGTTGTTTTCCTGGGTTGTTTCGGGAAAAGGAAGGAGGTAGAGAGATGAACTTTGGGCTTGTACAGTCGGAGAAATATAGTTGCTTGCATCCCGAGATTTGTGTTGGGTTTGGGGTTTTTACACGTAATGTGGCTGTTGAAGTCAGTAATCATTATATTAACGAATGTGCCAAATCCTTGAAAGACATCTGTGTATACTCAGATGTGCAGTAATCACAGAATCACAGGATGGTTTGAATTGGAAGGGATCTTAAAGGTCACTTGGTCCCGCCCCTTGCCATGGGCAGGGACACCTCCCACTGTCCCAGGTTGCTCCAAGCTCTGTCCAACCTGCCCTTGGACACTTCCAGGGATGGAGCAGCCACAGCTTCTCTGGGCAACCTGTGCCAGGGCCTCCCCACGCTCACAGGGAAGAATTCCTTCCCAATATCCCATCTAACCCTACCCTCTGGCACTGGGAAGCCATTCCCCCTTGTCCTGTCCCTCCAGGCCCTTGTCCCCAGTCCCTCTCCAGCTCTCCTGGAGCCCTTTTAGGCACTGGAAGGGGTTCTCAGGTCTCCCTGGTACCTTCTCTCCCAGCCCCAGCTCTCCCAGCCTGTCTCAATAGCAGAGCTGCTCCAGCCGGTTTCGCAGAACTTGCATTTTAAAGCCCAGCTGTGGTCAGTCAAGTGTTGCTGTGTTATTTATTTCAGGTATGTGGGCACATTCGATGACAGTTCAAGATTACCAGGATCTCATAGACAGAGGATGGCGAAGGTAAATTGAGAAAGAAAATACAAAGCCGTGCTGTCAGTTTAAATACAGCTTAGAGTCCACTTTTAAAATTTAGATCTCTGAAAATAGTTAGCTAGTTTCCATTAGTAATTGAAATAAAACTATTTGTCCAGTACTCTGAGACTCTTTGTAACATGGCACTGTCAAACAGGAAAAGATTTAATGATTTTGGAAGGATAACAATGTGGTATAGCAGCAAAGAGCTGAAGAATTTGCTTCTTGACATTTGTTACTCACCATGTAATACTTTGATATGATTTTAATAAAAAAGGTTCTTCTTCCATTTATGTTTTGATATAAACAACAAAAAATCAATTCATATTTATTACTATTTTCAGGAGTGGAAAATATGTCTACAAACCTATCATGAATCAAACATGTTGTCCTCAATACACAATAAGGTAAGAAGCTCAAAATACAATTGTGTAAGGGATTTGACCACTTCAAATGTGTTTATGGCTTGAAATACATCATACTTGGAAAGTTTATCTACTTTTAGTGATAGTTGGAATAGTAAGTCTGTACTGTTGGGGTTGTGCATAAGGACATCAACAGCTCTAGGATATTTTCATGTAAAGAACTTTGTCTGTAACCCACAAACACTGCCTTAGTAGCCCAAATAAGAGGGGCTGACATTCACATTTTAGTGATTATAGTGATAAACACACAAAACATGCCATGAGGACTGATGTTATGCAGTACAAGACAACATAAATTTCATTAAATCAAAAATGTTGATAAAATATTTGATCACTTAATATAGAGGAACTTCAGAGATAAATAGAAATTACATATGCAGTGTAATTTTTTTTAAGAGGCTCCTTAACATTTTCTTAAACTGTCACAAAAGAAATATTCATAATTTTTTTAGGTGCCAGGCTTTGCATTTTCAGGCCTCCAAATCTCACAAGAAGGTTCTGAAGAAAATGTTGAAATTTCTTTCCAAAGGAGATGTTTCGAAAGTAGCGAGTGAAGGTAAGAGACTCGTAGTGTTTGAAAACCAGAGCTGATGTTTGGGAGGAGGATTAAATACCTTTTGTGTACAGACCCCTGGATGGGTCTTTGCACTGGGTTTTGAATCAAGAGCACTTCAGTAGTCCAGAGACCAAGTCGTGCAGGTGACTTGTGCTAATGAAGAAGATGTTTCCTCACTTTTTCCATAGACCAGCTAATTTTCCTGGGTACATTCCTCCTTTCTAGCTGGGAGCTGTAGAGGATTAGACTCTGTTTTTACTCCTGCCATAAAACTGGCAGTCTGGAGAGGATCAAGCAGAATGGTTGGTGGCAGAGAAAAGGAAGAGCAAACAAATAGGTTTTTTCCTGGTGATTGAACAGTCACACCCCATTTATCCAGCACCAAACTGAGCTGTTCTCTGTTGTGGTGGAACTTGTGTTGGTTCTGAACCATTATAATTTGCCTTTTTTTGTGTGTGTGTGGTATGCTAGGGTTTTTTTTCAGCTCTTTTTTGTTGTTTGATTGCAGTTATGGCCTGAGATGAGTTACCTGTCCCATTTTAGTGGAGAGAATAAAACCGTTCCCAAAAATGAGTTGGTGTTCATAATTCGGGGTCATAAAGGAAACTTTGTTTTCAGACTCTTGCAAATTCTTTATCTGTTGGAAAACACTTGTAAAATTGGAAATTAGTTCCTTTGGTGTTAATTTTAGTTGTGCAAAGTGTGAGCTGTGGTTACACAGAGAGAAAATCACTCCTGCATGTTCTGATTGTCTGCAGAGGAGCCAATGGATTCCCACATAGAGGATGCGGTTGCCTGTGATTTTCCATACAAAAGTGAGTCTCAGGCCAGTCAGTCTGAACTGACTCCCTTGGGTGTGGATCACACTGAGAGGGTGGAGAATGAAGAAAAGGACTCAGGGGAAACAAAAGAAGAGGTGGATGTGCAGAAGGTGGAGTCGGATTCTCTCCAGATCTGTGCAGACAAGGACACACCAGTCCCTGGAGAACCATCACACTCGGCTAAAGTTGTTCATGCACCACCCAAGCCAGGTAATCACATTTCTGGTAGTCATTGGAATATACTGCCATGATTTCACATGTTGTTGAAGTCCTCCTTTTATCTTGCCTAGTAAATCAATCATTGCTTTGTTTTATTCCCTGTACTCCTCCCAGTTTATGGAACTACAGTGTGTAAATTGAGAGGTGCTGGGTGTTACTTGTTTTCTTACTGTTTCCTGGAAGTTACGTTGATTTTCATTATGTATTTTTTAAAATCTTATTTTCATTATATATTTTTTTTTATTTTTCCTTTCTGTTAAGTTATGGTGAGTACATAACTACAGACAGTAGTTTCCTGTAAGCTGTTTAGGTTGCAGTCAGATAGGTCAATGTGATAGAATCTCATCAGACATTGGGATCAGTTCCCAGTTCAGGATACTTTTGTGTGCAGGAGAAGATGTGCAGCCCAGCTTTCCCTTCCTTCTGTGGGATGTGGTGACTCAGGCTT